TTTATTTTTGATATCTGCAAATTCAAGTGCAAGAACAGTTCTCAACAATAAAATGCTCTAACAAATGGTCTCAAACTGACAGCCCCACCTAGCAGTTTTCAATGGCCCACAAATACAATACAATTATGCATTTGTTGCAAATATGATGTTACAATGATTTCAAAATTATTTTTTTAAGTCCTAGCTTACATTTTCATTACCATGAAAAATGAACAGAAATAATGTACATTAACAGAAAATACATAAATGCAGCCAGCCTGCAATTAAGAGTTTGAGACAACTGCTCTAACAATATATAACTTTTATACTCTTCTAAACATAAAATACTTATTAGATTTAATAACCTTCTTCACTAAGTCATTGGAAAATGAATTTTGGTTGGAAAAAATCCAATATACTTTAATGGATAAAAATTGAACGGCAATTTAAAAATACAAAGCAGAACAATACAAGAGCAAAATTAAATTTTATTTTCACTCAATACTGTCTGCTGTGATTTTTTTTTATTATTAGCCCAGAAGGGCTATTAATTTTGTTTTGGCATTTTGTGTTGATTCACTATAAACAGTGAATCACTTTTTAAATTTTTGCCATCAAATATTAGAATCCTGTATCATATTTAGAGATATTAAATAATGAAGAATCTACATAAATATATATGTGTTTTTCACACTATGATAAAACAACGGTACCTAGAGCTATCAAATTTTAAATAACGTATGTCTCCACCTGCAAATGGGCATCTAGAACAGCGGTCATCAACCCTATTAGAACTTCATGGACCATTACATATATAATTTTATATTTGGTAGACCACTAATATGAATTTAAAAAAAGGTAAATACATTTATACAATAATAATCAGCAAACTACACATATTTTGTTCACATTGAAAAATTACATAAAAAGTACAAAAAGCTTCACATTTCCATATCACTGAAAAGAAACTTCATGAAAAGCAAGAACAAAGATATTCAAATTCCAAGAAGCTTAAAAGATCTAAGATCCCAAAATTCAAATGTTAAATCTACAATTTTTTCATAATAAAAATTTTTCAAGCCCTAAGAACCCTTAATAAGTTTGTTAAAAGTCACTCTTTTGTATTTCATATTTAGCGCTTAATTTATGTTAATTTGGTACTCTTCTGTTATCAGGGTCAGGATTCAGAAATGTATACAGTCAAAAGTCGTTAATTCGGACGCCCATAATTCGGAATGATCTATAATCCGGACCTCAAAGCTACAAACTTTCTGCGCGTGCGTCGCGTCACATTGACGCACGCGCGTAAGACCTTTACGGCTGTGAATATGCTTGTGCGCGTGTGCAAAATACGTTTTACAAATGCGCGTTTAATGTATAACGGACGATATAAGCTAAGCTAAGCTAAAATTATCTAATTCAGTTAATATTGCAGATAGCGTTGTTCCTTAATCTTCAAATTGGATCCGGCTTATTATTTTTTGCAAACTGTTAGAGCAATTTTATAAAAGTAAGCTTGAACTTTCGATTATGTCAAATAGAATTTCTGATATATATTTACTAATATGTAAAGGATTTACAAAGTGAAAGTATATTTCGAAGGTCATTAAACAAAAAAGTGGAATTGCTGCAAAAAATGGATAAAGGCATATCCTTTGTTTATCTAAACTTTAACGTTTGTTGATCTTAACCGCCGGGCGTGCAATGAATTGGAAGTTGATCTGTCACCACTATCCTTATCTTCAGGGCAGATGTTTTTATTTTATTTGGCTTATAATTCCTTACTAAATGTATTACCGTATTTATGCGAATCTAATGCGCATCCCCATTTTAAAACTTTAAATAATAAAAAAATTGTTTGTCGGCGAATGTAATGTGCATCAATGGTATGAGGAATTTATTGAATCTTATTTTATACAACAATGGATTTGTATATGAACTATCAATCAATGGTATGATAATTTTATTTAAATTATTTATTTTCCTCAAAATCTGCAGGAATCTTATGGCGTATTGTTGTACGGCGTCTTAGAGATAAGCCCATCCGCTTCATAAACCGATCCACCCATCCACAGTTAGCCTTAAACTCTTGTTTCGGTATTCCAAGAATTTCAGCCTCCTCTTTTGCTTTATTTCTTATGGTGTCACTAGTCACAGGTTGTCCATTCTTCCTCCTTTTATGTACAGATGCCAAAACGTTTTCTTCAATTTTATGGTGTCTTCCTTTGCGAGGGCCAGTGAATTTCTTTCTACTAGCTTTAGTTGCAAACAGTGCCAATTTCTGTTGCCGCCACAAGCGAACATTGCTCTCAGCTACGTTGAACTCTCTCCCTGCCTTTCTATTGCCATTTTTTTCAGCATAAAGAATTACTTTACGTTTGAGAGTAGCATCATATGACATTCTTCTCTGTTTGCCCTCCATTTCGTGACTACGTACTCTACAGTTTGTATCCTCTATGTGATAATGTGTCAACGATAAATGTAACGGTAAATGTAGTTGAGAAGTACAGTAATCCATTGTTACGATTTAAATTTGGTTGACGTCATCGGCGAACTTTGCACTTGAATCTAATGCGGCATCGAATCTAATGTGCATCCCAACTTTGAATACTTCATTTGGCCAAAAACGATGCGCATTAGATTCACGTAAATACGGTATTTCATCTCGATGTACTCCATCTTTGATATGATTTAAATCAAATCCCTCGTCATTATAATTCGCTTCCGATAGCGAAGAAAGTGACAGAGATTATTGAAAACGAAAAAATTTCGATTGAAAAATTAGTCGGTATTGTCGACACAGCAATTATAGGACTTGAACAGCGGAACTTTGTAACTGAACAAAAAATTATGTCTGTTTATAGAATTAAAAAGAATGTATTATCACATAAAAAATGAAGCAACTTAAACAACTTACATTGAAAGAAATGTTTAATAAAGTAAACAAATAAATATTAAGCTTTTTTTTTCTAAATTTTGATACCCTTTAGATCATAAATGCTCTTTATTTCATAAATTACGGTTTTATATTTTTAATTATATAATATCTGCATGCCATCTTACCAGATTTAAATTGATGATCTATAATCCGGAAAAACCGATAATCGGGAATCCCTGAAGTCCCGACGAGTCCGGATTACAGACTGTAGTTGAATGTTTTACTTCTGATACTAGAATCTTTTTCTTAACATGTTTATCTTCCCTTTATTTTCTCTACTTTTCACTAGACACAAGCATGGAAAATATCAAAAATGCTTCTGATCTTATCACATGGGCATGCATTATAGAAAGGGATTTTTTTTATTAATAAAGAAATTGAAACTGGTTTCTTATTTTAATTTTATAATTTCTGCATGCCATCTTACCAGATTTAAACTGATGATCTATAATCTGGAAAAATCGATAATCCGGAATTGCCGAAGTCCCGACGAGTCCGGATTAACGACTTTTGACTGTATTACTCAAATACATTTTGCCAAATTATTTTGAGAAAATTAATCAAAATTCTAGTTTAGGCATTTCTTTCACTGAATTTTGACATAATAAAAATACTTCTTACTTTTCTTAAAATGCATCTCAACAAATATAGATAATTCATTTGGTTTATTACTTTGGAGCTTTAATGCAAGTTTTAGGCTTTTTAATTTACTTTTAATTACTTTATTTTGAATCAACAAATATAGATGTATTTTTAAAAGCATTTCATAAATTACAGATTTTAAATTTTTTCCTTCTTTGTTATTATTTTTACATGAAAGACAATCAAATCCCAGAAAACATAGGATCTATCTTAGCTCATTTAACACCTTGACTATCACCGATGATTCACAGTGGCCTTACTTTTTGGAGCCATGTGCATTGAATGTAATTCACAAGTTTGTACTGACTGAAGGCATGCGAGTCACCAATGCTTCACAAACACACAGATTTATACAGTTAAATTTAATTCTATAGTCTGACAGTTTTCGTATTCTCATTTCTGGCTTCTTTTCACCATTCTGGGCATAGAGTGGGTTCTGAAAGCTTTTATTTGATTTTAATATACATTTTGCAGTTACTTTTAAGTAATTATTATTTATAAGGAAGTAAGACAATGAAATTGTAATTGGAAAGGATTGTGTCATTTATTGGAAGACTAGAGGCACATTTTAAGATGTTTATACATTTATTAAGTTATTCATTTTTGGTTATATATGCTGTTTCACTATTTGCATTGAAACAAATTATTGTCTAATTTTATTAATTTTTACTATCAAGACAATGAACTCTTGTGTTACTTTACAATGAATTTAGTTGTAATCTATTTATACATTTATTATTATTTATTTATCTATTTATTAAATACTCAAAAAAGTATATACAGACTAGGTACTGAAGTAGTTTTAACATAAATGGGACAAGAAAACACTAGAATTAAAAAATGGCCCAATGGAGTATTTTACTCGATTTGCTGCTGCAGTCAATGTTTTAAGTATCAAATACGATACACTAATAAAAATTAAAAAATAAATAATAATAATAATAATAATAATAATAAACAGATATACAAACATTTTAAATCAAATTCCAAAAATTTAATATGTTTATAAATTTTCTAATTTTTCTTTACTTTAATGAGTGTTTTTAATCTGCTCAGTTTCATAAGTTATAATCTGTCTCATAAATATACAAATTTTAAATGAATTAAAAAATATTAAGATTACTTTTCTCAAAAAGGTACCCTTTAATTTGGCAATTTATTTTTCTAAAATTAAAATTTCATTTAACAGAATTCAGTTTCAAAAGTTAACTTAAAAATTTTTTTCAATATGTGCATAGTGAAAATGCACAATAATTACATACATGCAGCATGATAATTTACACTTAATACATGCAAAATAAATAGAACGAAAAAAATGGCATTTATTTGCTCAAATTTTAGAAAACAGAACTCTATGCATCATAAAATCAGGATAAAATGATTAAGAAAATGTAATATATTTTGAATAAAACTCTCATGAAAATATGTTGTTAATTCTTACCATTCTGGGCATAGAGTGGGTTCATCAAGGGTGGAGTATCATTAATAGCATCATCTAAATTCTTGTACAATGTTACAACATCATTTGCATGCAAAAAAAGAATCGAAAAAAAGATGTTCACTTTTGGTTCAGAATGTTTTGCTTTAGAAACAGGATCTATTACCCAATAACACACTGCATGAGAAAGATTAGTCTCTTTTAAATTGAAACTTCCAGCAGGTGACGTTAAGTTTTTACAACACGTTACGTTTTTACAATCTATAACAAAATAAGATATAAAAGAGAAAATTAATATTAATGAACATATAAGTTTTAAAAACAGTCTATTACAAAATAAGATATAAAAGATAAATTTAATATTAATAATCATATTTCAATCAAATACAACTTAATAAAGAAGATTCACAAGACCCTAGTTTCTATCAATCATTAGGCTGTGCCTGCTAATATATTGGCTTTTTGCTTTAAGGGTCCAGAGATTCAAAAACTTTAAAAATGGAGATTTTGTTAACAGAAGCTTGATTGTGTATATGATACAAAGTTCGAAATCAGGACATCCAATATCTGGAATGATTTAATTTTGGACCATTATCTAAAGGGAGTTGGGAAATAAAAATAATTCCCCTTTCCCTTACAAAGTCTAGGAATAGAGAATATAATATTCAGCTAATGGAAGCAGGCGTGACATATGTGCAATTTTTCTCCCAACTAATCGAGACTCCTTCACATTGCCTTCAAACATCTGCCGGCTAAGAAGTGACATGATGACCAACGAAAATGTATTTATGTTGCTCGCAATCACACTTTCAGCCCTTGAATGCTTGTGAGTGAAAGCATTTTTCTCTTTGACCTAAACAATAAGCGAAGCCCCAATATCATGTCTACACATCATTTTACTAGATTTAACCTGATGATCTTAAATCTGTAAGTTTCAAATTCCAGAAACATTCAAGTTCTGATGATTCCTGATTTCTGACTTTGTATGCAAAACACAATATACAAGAGGACATTAGTATTATTATAAAGAAAATTTATTAAAATTTAAGGAATCAGTAATATAATGTACACACTATTATCAGAAATAAGTTAACAAAATCCAACGTAAAATTTAAGCGGGAAAAAACAACACCCAGATACGTCATGTATGTAAGCAATGTTTTCAAATTGTGAAATAGTTGTTAAAATATAATTATTTTTAATTCCTAACAATGGACTATAAAACTTCAAGACTGCACTCATGCAATATGACATAACTAATTTTGTTGTATTTCCTCTCAAGTTGAGTTAACTGCAATGAGATCATCTGAAATAAAGCCTTTCTATTTTACATTTTTCAATGACAAAATATAAAACTATGTATTTTTTGGAAATGCAAACAGCAGGAAATTAAAATTCAAGCCTTATGTAATTACTTCAAAGGAATAACATATAATAAGGAAAGTACAGTTAAAGTGTGCTACCAGTTTTCAAAGTAGAAAAAAGATTCTGAGTCATATTTGGAAGATAATCAGAGAACAGATCACTACAAAAGTATTTGATAAATAATTAATAAATTAGTTTGATTATTACTTCAAAAGCACTATCTCAGAAGCCTGCTAAGTTTAAGAGTTGGAACTGTTTCCAGACAGGGTCAAAGGGACTTGTTTTTTTCCTTATTTTTACTGCTTTTAATAGCTAAAGCTTTATTCAATATCACAAACTAAACTGTTAAATTTTCATTTAAAAGTACATTTAATATTTTGTACATTATGCTTTAAATGCACAAAATAAATGTTATTAGTTTTGAGCTTATGAATCATTATTTTTCAAATTATCTTAGTAGTCGCTATAATGGGCCCACATCACTCAGCTTTATGATAATCAAAATTAGAAATATACCATGCTGCCTATGACTAGGGCAATCAGGATTGCATCCAATTTATTCATTACATTTTAGCGCAGGAAAAAAAGAGCAAAATCATGCATAAGATATGAAAAAAGCAATAATAAAAGAACACAAGTTAATAATAACCATTCAGTTCCTAAGCAATGAAATACAGATAAAAATTTTGCAAAAGAAGCTGAAAGGATTAAAATTAATTGATCAAGATAATAACACTATTCTATAGAAAACAAAAATTTATTTAATTTTAAAAGTCCAATATTAGGTTTTCTGTTCTAAAGGAAACAGTTATATAATATATAGTAAATCCATCAAAAGACTATCAAATTACTTTCCCAGGAAAAATTAAGACACTTTATAAAGCCACTCAAATATCCAAATGCAAAAAGACCAAAAGTACAACCAGATATGGAATTTCAGAAAAAGCATGCATAATTACTTGCTAGAGACTGACAGTTCTTTTAAAGAGTACAATCTAAAACTGTAAATATTGGATACAATATAAGTATAGTTGCAAAACAGGCAAAAATTTATAAAATAATTCAAAATGGATCGAAATATTAATGTAGTAAAGTGAATTATTATTTTTAAATAAGTGCAGCTACAATATTTATTCATAGGTTACATATTACCATTCATATTCAATCTGAGCTTATCCATGTCTATATTAGATTAGAAGCCCCCATCAGAAAACTAATTTAGCTATTTTATTTTCTGTTACTAGAGCACCAGTCACCAAAAGTATGTCAAAACAGCAATGTGCTAGCCTGCTTACATTGCATTCTTCCATTGCAGCGAAAAAGCGGGAAGAATGAACATTAAGGCAGCAATTTTCTATAGTAAATTTTCAGTTGCTTTTGTAAAGTTCTGATTATTTTAGGAAATAATTAATATGAATTACATGATTTGGCATTTGTCATGATTAAATTCTTTCCAGACAATGGTACCATCTATGCTGAAAGATTTCGTTCGAAAAGCCACAAAATGAAATTATAATGAAAATAATATAATATAAAATAATTATAATGAAAAATTATAATTAAAATGAAATTATATTTTAGTCCTATTAAAACACTGATATGGCATTTCAACAACAGACTGTACCACAAAACAAAGGCCCAAGAAGCAAAAATTAGTTCGAAGTTTTGTGAATTCCTTTTCCAGTTTATTTACTTCTGGTGTACATCAGTAGAATTCTGTCAGCTGCAACAATTTGAATTACTGTATAAATGTCAAGTGGAATAACTACATGAGAAAGGTGTTAATTCCTTACTGTGTCTATTTTCAATAAAGACTGGCAGTTCAAACACAGCCCACATGCAAGAAATACAACATCGGCCATATTTTTTATAATTTTTCTCCTGTATTTTCATATAATTTTATCAAATAAATGCTTTAAAAATTTAACTAGTTTCATTCAGAACCACATCATAAATAATAGGAAAGAAATGGAAATAGAGCAGCTTGCTGAGAGAAAGAAAATGAACAGTTGTTTGAACTGGAAAAATTAAAATTATAATCTAGTATTACTTCTAGCACAGAGGAATCTACATTGACATCTTCTTTTGCAGGTACAGAAATACCCAAGTTAGAACTCAAAAAGTTAGTTTCTAATTTTGATCCTAAAAAAGCTGACATGAGTTTATTTCTGAATTTGTTTGAAATGCAATTAACTCTTCTGAAGGTTACCAATTTCAAAATGACTCAGGGATGACCGTGGTACACATGCCACGTTGGAGTTTTAACAATGGCAACCAAAGACTTACTGAAAAATTAGAAATATTTAAAAAATAATATCATCTGTATCAACTCTGTTGATAGACACACACATAAACACATTATAATAAATATAATAATTCAATTTCACTTCAAGATGTTAATTGTTACCCAACTGAAATCCAAATCCAAATTACTGACCTACAGCATCATACTACACTGAAAAGCACGTATAAGGAACTTATTTCAACTACAAGTGATCCAAATTATATTGACTTTTGGTAATTTGTACCAACAAGCATCTTTCCATGACCTAGCTGTCAGATAATGTTGAAGGTTTGGATCAACATATGTTTGTGAACAAATGTTTTCTGTTACGAACATGATAAAATCAAAACATCATTCAAGATTGACTGATATGCACCTAAAACATCTAATTTAGCTAACATCTTCAAGAACTAATCATAATACATATGACTTGGTAAAAAAAACTACATATTCAAACACGACATTAATTAAGTACTGACTGTTTAATAGTTATTTAGAATTAAATGTTTCAAATTATTCATTTTTATTTTATACATAATCTAATTAACTGAAACTTTAAAAATGTTTATTAAAAATAAAACTCTAGTTTAGTACATTTGCTTTGCTTATTTTATTTATTTTTAAATGTCCACTATTCCAGACTTGCACTCTTTTGAAAAAAAAAAAAAAAAAATCGAAGCACCAAGAAGGACTTTTGCGGTTATGACAAAATTTGGTATGCAAAAACAACTTGATCGAACATGCAAATGATCAATGTTTCAAGGCAAATGAACAGGAATTGCGATCACAGCATGCATTTCTAGTGCACAATTCGCAAAGTATAAAACCACTAACAGAGGTGGAAAATTTATCTTTCTTTGTTGCTGTAATTGTAATTCCGTAAAAAAGCAACTTAAGATGCCATTACAACAATATTGAAGACCTTACAGACAACTAAACGACTTTGAACATGATTACATTGTAGGGTTGCATGAAGCTAGGTGGTCATACCGAATAATAGGTCGCCACCTGCAGTGAACAGACACTGCTGCGCAAAGATGTTGACAGCAATGGTTGCTACAAGGAAATTGCCAACAAAATGAAGGCTCTGGAAGGCCAAGGAGCACAAATGCGAGGCAAGATAGGATGATTGTTCGCCAGGACCGAACTACGCCAACGATATCACAGTCGACTGCTCAACACACTACAGCCATGTGTACACCTCCCGTGGTACTGTCCACCATTTTCAATAGTGGCACTCTTCCTAGAAAGATTGGCCATCCCTGGTATATCTTGTTGGTCTTCTGCTAACCAATATTGGAAAACTAATTGCAAAAGAATCTTATGATGATGCTCAGGATTATAGAGGATTAAACATATTCTCTTAAAGTGCTTCAGACTAAATGCTGAGAAGTTTCAACAAATGTTTACTCCACAGAGGAAAAGTCCAGAAAACACCTGGTGAGACCTTTTATTTTGTCTTACAAAACTATTTCAATGGGTGGCTTAAAGAATCAAAAGTCACGACATTTTAAGCACTTAAAGAATTTGATACTGGCAGATCAAATTAAGAAGAAAGCCACTCCAAGTGAATAAAGAACTTTTTTTGCATACCCATTTCAAGCCATTTCAT